TTACCTTAGTTTACCTTAGTTTACCTTCGTTTACCTTAGTTTACCTTATTTTAGTTTGCCTTAGTTTACCTTACCTTAGTTTACCTTAGTTTACCTTAGTTTACCTTAGTTTACCTTAGTTTACCTTAGTTTACCTTAGTTTACCTTAGTTTACCTTAGTTTACCTTACCTTTAGCGGTGTCAAACTGATATTTTAAAACGGTCCCTGAGCTTTTTTGAAAGTTGCTTTGTCAAGTATTCGTGATTCTAAGATAGTGTGCACTAAATTTGTTCATATATCTCAAGTTATAATAAACCGGGAGTGATCTCCCCTAATCTTTCTCGAATATTCTTATATAACTTGGAATATAGACGATTTTTAATTACTTAAACTTTTAAAAATAGAATAGAATCTCATAGAAAAAAGAATTGCGCACCAAGCCAACGCCAAAACAAAAAATGTGCATAATAGTGCGCAATATTATTAGTACTTTATAAATTTACATGCTTTTTGGGAGAAATCCGAAATAGCGTAAATTAGTAGTTCCGGTCAACGGAAATTACTCAAAATTTAACTGAAGGTAGAGAATTAGATCTTTTACTAACATGTGAAATTTCGTTTATCAATCTGAAATAATACTCAAGTTATAGGCTTTTGAAAAATTCAAAGTAGAAAAAGTACCACTTCCGGTTATCGGAAATCGCTCAAAATATGATCAGGATCTACGATTTTGATAAAATACTTATATATGAAATTTCATCAACCTAGCTGTAACGGTACTCAAGTTATCGTGTTTACACACAGACAGACACACAGGCATACGGACAAGATTGCAAAATTATGTTTTTCCGTATCAGTGACTTGTAAAACGTCGAGATTTGTAAAAATCCCGATTTTTTTTGCACGATTACAAGACTTTCTCTATACTTTGTATATACCAGAAAGTAAAAAAATTTCGACGTTTAAAAAAAAATGTTTTTAATGTTTTTCCAACACCCTAAAAAGTGCAATGTTTGAGAGGTTATATCTGTAAAAGTATACGTCACAAACACAATCTTTTGAACGCAACACAAACACACATACAGAGAGAACAGACTCAATTTTTTTTCAAACCTCAAAAATAAGTATATCATTTAAATTAATTGTATTGAAATTGGCTTTTCTCACTTTTTGAAAAAATTGAAAAGGGAAGTAAAAAACACAAATTTTGCACATTTTTAAAACATCACCAAAAAAGGTCTGATGAAAGAAAATACTTGATAAGTATATCAAAATGTAGGGCAACAACGCTTCTTTAATTTTAAGTTATATGTATACTATAAAAGTACATTTGAAACACACGTTTGATCAGAAGAGTGCAGGGCTTCACAATCTGTCGAAAATGCGTCTTTAAAAAAATAAAAAAAATAAAAAAATATGACACCTATAGTAGAGTAATAGAAATAAAGGATAATCATAGCTCTTAACAGGTAAACAGTGTTTGTGTCTGTGATTAATTTATATGCGATCCAATGGTGGCTGGAACAGTGCTAGGGTCACATCAAGAAATTTTTGTTGTTGAAATAATTATTAGTCTCTAGAACCAGTAGTACATTTAAAAGAAAGAACATTTATTTAGAATGCCTCAGTCGATGTATCTTTATGTTAGAAATATGTATTTATACATAGCTGGTTCAAAAATTATTGTGATATGGTAGGGCTACACCAAAATACACTTGCTTATTAAATACAACTACGTAGTTTAAATAGATAACCATTCTAGACTTGCATTCTCACCCTTAGTGTCTTAACAGTAGTTCTTCACATCTATAACCTGAAAATATGTAATCAATAGCCAGACTAGTCACCATAAACGGTCAGCATACTTTAGAGAACGTAACAAGGTTTTGTTTCGTAGACAAGGGCTATATTCTTTTAAAGGAATCTAATAACGGTTTATTTCCAAGCTGACTGCAAAGTGTAAATGCATCTGCACTCGTGCACTGATCATTAATATATATTGACATTGTTACAACTGTAGTAAATATCTCGCTTCCCCCTCTCCTCACCCCCCCCCCCCATCCCAGGTAAGTTTCGGAGATAAAGAACTAGACTGCTGACCCGACTAAAAACCATTGCGCGCCTATTGAACGTGATGACGCGCTTTTGTCGTAGAGCCCCCCCCCCCTCCCCCCCCCCCCCCTAACTCCACGACCAAGAGGGCCGTGATGACGCGTGTGGATAGAACTGCTTCTAATTCGGTTCAAATTTTAATTAATTCATAAAAAAATAATTAGGCGACCAATTACGTCAAATTGAATGTCACGATGCATTGTCTTTATGTCTTGACCCACGTACCAATTACGAACCGTATCTGTCAGTTATAAGTGCCTGCAATTTCGCTCGGCCGTTTCGATCTAGACAGACAAAGGAAGTGAGTTAAATAAAAGCTTGTAAAATTCATCGCTAAAACCCAACCCATGCATCAAATTTGCAGAGTTTTCTACTTTAAACTATACCCATATATTGTTGACACTGGTGACAAAATGTACGATCACGTGACCTTTTACATTTAACAGAAAAAAATATTCAGCTATTCTAAAAATATTAGAAAAACATGTTATAATTATTTTTAAAGTACCCTTTGTCATAAAAGACAAAAATATTTGAACTAAGCAATCATAAAAAAATTAGACTCCGATACAAAGTGAAGTGGGGTTTAGCTCATCGGGCGAAGCTGAAAAATTACGTGGAAGTCTAATCATTGAACGGCGTTATAGCTTTAATAATAAAAATATACTGAAGAAATAAACTATAAAAACTAGACTCACAAACTTTTTTATTAAGTAGCTACATGTTTTTATTTATTTTACTGAACTATCAAGCCTCTAAAACTTGCTAACATCAATTTAGAAAAGCTTGGTGGTGTGTTGTTAACGAAGAAAACGGCCATTTTCTTCGACCGGGCCTAAAGCTATTTTAGTGTGTTTTGTCGAGCTCTGCCTTTTTTGACCATGCTTAGAAATGATAAACAAAATAAGTGTTTAACAGAAAAAAGGACCAATTTCTGAAAATGCTAATAAAAAGTTTAATTTATACGATGATAGAATCACATGGTAATTTTCAAATATCTTAGTTTTTTTAACATTTAAAATATTTAGTCTATTATGCATTTTTTTTTAGTTTAGTATCCCACTAAAGGCTATTCAATTCTGCACATTTTACAGATATTTGTAAAGAAATACGTTGAACGGTCAAAAAAGGCCCGCGAGTTAAATGAGAGAGGGGTCAAAATCCGTTACTCGACTGCCGTTGAAAAATCATCTCGGTGATAGTTTTCAATTGGTAAATGAGATATATTGTTCAATATCAACAACTATAAAAATTACACATAATTATATGGCTTAAAATCTACTTTTGAATGGTAATTATTATACGAGCCTTTTTTTATTATCGAAACTATGAAGTGAAAAGCTATTATTTTTGGGCGACGCGGGCGAAAACGCCGTTTATTACGGCAGTTTGAGATACCTACTTACCTTACCTTAGTTTAACTTAGTTTATTTTACCTTACCTTAGTTTACCTTAGTTTACCTTAGTTTACCTTAGTTTACCTTAATTTACCTTAGTTTAGTTTACCTTAGCTAACCTTAGTTTACCTTGGTTTACCTTAGTTTACCTTAGTTTACCTTAGTTTACCTTACCTTACCTTAGTTTAACTTAGTTTATTTTACCTTACCTTAGTTTACCTTAATTTACCTTAGTTTAGTTTACCTTAGTTTACCTTACCTTACCTTAGTTTACCTTAGTTTACCTTACCTTACCTTAGTTTACCTTAGTTTACCTTACCTTATCTCTCCTCACCTCAGCTCACCATAACTCGTCTTACATGTTGCCTATACCCACAGGAGCTGTGTTATTGAATGTACATGTAGACAGGTGAAAGCAGCCTATCAATATTTGATTCACTAGAACGTTCTCTAAAGAGAGACATTAGCTCCTTCTTTTCACTGTAAATAACAAGGTTCCATTTCGATGTTTTAGAATTCCACCTCAAGAGAGATGGATGTTCGAAATGTGAAGTAATTTTGTCCGAGTTGGATCCTTTTGTCCGGAGCTTATCTAGAGGGGGTATCCATGTCATGCAACATCCACCATACACCCCCATACACCCCAATACAGCCTCCATAACCCCCATAACCCCATACACCCCCCATAAACCCACATACACGCCCATACACACCCTATACATACCCCATACACCCCCTATACATACCTCATACACCCCCATGATCCCTATATACATACCTCATACACCCCCATACATCCACCATACACCCCCTTACACCCCCATACACCCTCAATACATTTCCGCCACCCTCCCCACATATTCTCAATAATTTTTATTTTAGCGATTTCCGCAATGCAAATTTAAATGTATTAAATAAACACTTCCGCATGCTATGAGAAAGATGAATGTATTAAAAAATATATTTCCGCATGCTATGAGAATGATGAATGCATTAAAAAATATAATAGCCCGACATTTTATTTGAATTTAAAAAAAAAAAATTTCATCTAGTTCGTGTTTACGTGTCTTTATCATGCCAATCTGTCCCCCCCCCCCCCACCCACCCCCATATGCTCCTTCTCTTTGATTCCGCCAGGGGCCAGAACTCAAGAGAGGCTGGTATTTACTTACCGTCCTTGCTATCAAAGATTTGGATCCATGAACAGACCAACACAGGTCTAAAGACAACCTGCAGCGTCTGATGAACGGTCCTGCTATAATGTCCTGCTATAATGTCCTGCTGTCCAGCTATAAGGTCCTGCTATAAGGTCCTGCTGTAAGGTCCTGCTGTAAGGTCCTGCTGTAAGGTCCTGCTGTAAGGTCCTGCTATAATGTCCTGCTGTAAGGTCCTGCTATAAGGTCCTGCTGTAAGGTCCTGCTGTAAGGTCCTGCTGTAAGGTCCTGCTATAAGGTCCTGCTGTAAGGTCCTGCTATAAGGTCCTGCTGTAAGGTCCCGCTGAAAGGTCCTGCTCAGTCTCTTGTGTCACATTGTAAACAATGGAAAGGCCGTGGTTGGTATAGCTGTGGTTGATATAGTCTTTGTTTATAGCCGTGGTTGATATAGCCGTGGTTGATATAGTCGTGGTTGATATAGCTGTGGTTGATATAGTCGTGGTTGATATAGCCGTGGTCGATATAGTCGTGGTTGATATAACCGTGGTTGATATAGTCGTGGTTGATATAGCTGTGGTTGATATAGTCGTGGTTGATATAGTCGTGGTTGATATAGCCGTGGTTGATAAAGCTGTTGTTGATATAGTTGTGTTTCATATAGTCGTGGTTGATATAGCCGTGGTTGATATAGTCGTGGTTGATATAGTCGTGGTTGATATAGTCGTGGTTGATATAGCCGTGGTTGATAAAGCTGTTGTTGATATAGTCGTGGTTGTTATAGCCGTGGTTGATATAGTCGTGGTTGATATAGCTGTGGTTGATATAGTCGTGGTTGATATAGCCGTGGTTGATATAGTCGTGGTTGATATAGTCGTGGTTGATATAGCCGTGGTTGATAAAACTGTTTTTGATATAGTCGTGGTTGATATAGCCGTGGTTGATATAGCCGTAGTTGATAAAGCTGTTGTTGAAAACGGTATTCTTCATCTTCCTCTAGATGTGTATTCAAGATTTGGTCATGAACTGGTCAGCTTTTTGTTGGGGGTCAACAAATGAGATTGTTGGGGGTCAACAAATGAGATTGTTGGGGGTCAACAAATGAGATTGTTGGGGGTCAACAAATGAGATTGTTGGGGGTCAACAAATGAGATTGTTGGGTCAACAAATGAGATTGTTGGGTCAACAAATGAGATTGTTGGGGGTCAACAAATGAGATTGTTGGGTCAACAAATGAGATTGATTATCAACTTTGTGTTTCTGGGTTGTAAGGCGATGTGAGAACCACACGATTCGGCTTGGTGGGGGGGGGGGGGGGGCAAAGGCCAAGGTTTTCTGTTGTCTGGCTGTGAAGTATCGGCCCATGTTAGTATTGGCCACTGTGGCCCATGTTAGTATCGGCCACTGTGGCCCATGTTAGTATCGGCCACTGTGGCCCAACAAAGTATCGGCCACTGTGGCCCATGTTAGTATCGGCCACTGTGGCCCATGTTAGTATCGGCCACTGTGGCCCATGTATCGACCAGTGTGGCTAAAGGCTCTGGTATCGATTCACTCCAACGGACTTTCAAGCAAGATCATACGACTTAATCACCCAGTAAACACAAGGCTTAGGACTAGTTCAATCGATCCATTCGTGCTTGCAAAAACCAATTGAGCATTTTACATAAGTAAATGTATGGCCAGTAAATATTTATTCACGTTACTGTTTACTTATTTACCTAACCAGCGTACTCATATTTAGGCTGGACGGGTCGTCACTAGGCTCACAATATGAGGTTTTTAAATGACGTCATAAGAACAATCTCGAGTGTGTTCATGTGTACAAACTTGAGGGCGACAATATAGTTTTTCACAGGTTGGTGCTTGTTGGAAGCTTCTGTATAGAGCCCAGCACAGAGCGAAGGAAAGAGCCCAGCACAGAGCCCAGCACAGAGCCCAGCACAGACCTGACACAGAGCCCAGCACAGAGCCCAGCACAGAGCCCAGCACAGAGCCCAGCACAGACCTGACACAGAGCCCAGCACAGAGCCCAGCACAGAGCCCAGCACAGACCTGACACAGAGCCCAGCACAGACCTGACACAGAGCCCAGCACAGAGCCCAGCACAGAGCCCAGCACAGAGCCCAGCACAGACCTGACACAGAGCCCAGCACAGAGCCCAGCACAGAGCCCAGCACAGAGCCCAGCACAGAGCCCAGCACAGACCTGACACAGAGCCCAGGACAGAGCCCAGCACAGAGCCCAGCACAGAGCCCAGCACAGAGCCCAGCACAGAGCCCAGCACAGAGCCCAGCACAGAGCCCAGCACAGACCTGACACAGAGCCCAGCACAGACCTGACACAGAGCCCAGCACAGACCTGACACAGAGCCCAGCACAGACCTGATACAGAGCCCAGCACAGAGCCCAGCACAGAGCCCAGCACAGAGCCCAGCACAGAGCCCAGCACAGACCTGACACAGAGCCCAGCACAGACCTGACACAGAGCCCAGCACAGACCTGACACAGAGCCCAGCACAGACCTGACACAGAGCCCAGCACAGAGCCCAGCACAGAGCCCAGCACAGAGCCCAGCACAGAGCCCAGCACAGACCTGACACAGAGCCCAGCACAGACCTGACACAGAGCCCAGCACAGAGCCCAGCACAGACCTGACACAGAGCCCAGCACAAACCTGACACAGAGCCCAGCACAGAGCCCAGCACAGACCTGACACAGAGCCCAGCACAGAGCCCAGCACAGAGCCCAGCACAGACATGACACAGAGCCCAGCACAGACCTGACACAGAGCCCAGCACAGACCTGACACAGAGCCCAGCACAGAGCCCAGCACAGAGCCCAGCACAGAGCCCAGCACAGACCTGACACAGAGCCCAGCACAGAGCCCAGCACAGAGCCCAGAACAGACCTGACACAGAGCCCAGCACAGACCTGACACAGAGCCCAGCACAGAGCCCAGCACAGAGCCCAGCACAGAGCCCAGCACAGACCTGACACAGAGCCCAGCACAGACCTGACACAGAGCCCAGCACAGAGCCCAGCACAGACCTGACACAGAGCCCAGCACATAGCCCAGCACAGACCTGACACAGAGCCCAGCACAGAGCCCAGCACAGAGCCCAGCACAGAGCCCAGCACAGACCTGACACAGAGCCCAGCACAGACCTGACACAGAGCCCAGCACAGACCTGACACAGAGCCCAGCACAGACCTGACACAGAGCCCAGCAAAGACCTGACACAGAGCCCAGCACATAACCCAGCACAGAGCCCAGCACAGACCTGACACAGAGCCCAGCACAGACCTGACACAGAGCCCAGCACATAGCCCAGCACAGACCTGACACAGAGCCCAGCACAGAGCCCAGCACAGAGCCCAGCACAGAGCCCAGCACAGAGCCCAGCACAGAGCCCAGCACAGACCTGACACAGAGCCCAGCACAGACCTGACACAGAGCCCAGCACAGACCTGACACAGAGCCCAGCAAAGACCTGACACAGAGCCCAGCACATAGCCCAGCACAGACCTGACACAGAGCCCAGCACAGAGCCCAGCACAGAGCCCAGCACAGAGCCCAGCACAGAGCCCAGCACAGAGCCCAGCACAGACCTGACAAAGAGCCCAGCACAGACCTGACACAGAGCCCAGCACAGACCTGACACAGAGCCCAGCACAGAGCCCAGCACAGACCTGACACAGAGCCCAGCACAGAGCCCAGCACAGACCTGACACAGAGCCCAGCACAGACCTGACACAGAGCCCAGCACAGAGCCCAGCACAGACCTGACACAGAGCCCAGCACAGAGCCCAGCACAGAGCCCAGCACAGAGCCCAGCACAGACCTGACACAGAGCCCAGCACAGAGCCCAGCACAGAACCCAGCACAGAGCCCAGCACAGAGCCCAGCACATACCTGACACAGAGCCCAGCACAGAGCCCAGCACAGACCTGACACAGAGCCCAGCACAGAGCCCAGCACATACCTGACACAGAGCCCAGCACAGAGCCCAGCACAGACCTGACACAGAGCCCAGCACATACCTGACACAGAGCCCAGCACAGACCTGACACAGAGCCCAGCACAGACCTGACACAGAGCCCAGCACAGAGCCCAGCACAGACCTGACACAGAGCCCAGCACAGACCTGACACAGAGCCCAGCACAGACCTGACACAGAGCCCAGCACAGACCTGACACAGAGCCCAGCACAGAGCCCAGCACAGACCTGACACAGAGCCCAACACAGAGCCCAGCACAGAGCCCAGCACAGAGCCCAGCACAGAGCCCAGCACAGACCTGACACAGAGCCCAGCACAGAGCCCAGCACAGAACCCAGCACAGAGCCCAGCACAGAGCCCAGCACATACCTGACACAGAGCCCAGCACAGACCTGACACAGAGCCCAGCACAGAGCCCAGCACATACCTGACACAGAGCCCAGCACAGAGCCCAGCACAGACCTGACACAGAGCCCAGCACAGACCTGACACAGAGCCCAGCACAGACCTGAAACAGAGCCCAGCACAGACCTGACACAGAGCACAGCACAGAGCCCAGCACAGACCTGACACAGAGCCCAGCACAGACCTGACACAGAGCCCAGCACAGACCTGACACAGAGCCCAGCACAGACCTGACACAGAGCCCAGCACAGAGCCCAGCACAGACCTGACACAGAGCCCAGCACAGAGCCCAGCACAGACCTGACACAGAGCCCAGCACAGAGCCCAGCACAGACCTGACACATAGCCCAGCACAGAGCCCAGCACAGAGCCCAGCACAGAACCCAGCACAGAGCCCAGCACAGAGCCCAGCACAGAGCCCAGCACAGAGCCCAGCACAGAGCCCAGCACAGACCTGACACAGAGCCCAGCACAGACCTGACACAGAGCCCAGCACAGACCTGACACAGAGCCCAGCACAGACCTGACACAGAGCCCAGCACAGACCTGACACAGAGCCCAGCACAGACCTGTCACAGAGCCCAGCACAGACCTGACACAGAGCCCAGCACAGACCTGACACAGAGCCCAGCACAGACCTGACACAGAGCCCAGCACAGACCTGACACAGAGCCCAGCACAGACCTGACACAGAGCCCAGCACAGAGCCCAGCACAGACCTGACACAGAGCCCAGCACAGAGCCCAGCACAGACCTGACACAGAGCCCAGCACAGAGCCCAGCACAGACCTGACACATAGCCCAGCACAGAGCCCAGCACAGAGCCCAGCACAGACCTGACACAGAGCCCAGCACAGACCTGACACAGAGCCCAGCACAGACCTGACACAGAGCCCAGCACAGACCTGACACAGAGCCCAGCACAGACCTGACACAGTTCCCAGCACAGACCTGTCACAGAGCCCAGCACAGACCTGACACAGAGCCCAGCACAGACCTGACACAGAGCCCAGCACAGACCTGACACAGAGCCCAGCACAGACCTGACACAGAGCCCAGCCCAGAGCCCAGCCCAGAGCCCAGCACAGAGCCCAGCACAGAGCCCAGCACAGAGCCCAGCACAGAGCCCAGCACAGACCTGAAACAGCCCAGCACAGACCTGACACAGAGCCCAGCACAGACCTGACACAGAGCCCAGCACAGACCTGACACAGAGCCCAGCACAAACCTGACACAGAGCCCAGCCCAGAGCCCAGCACAGACCTGACACAAAGCCCAGCACAGAGCCCAGCACAGAGCCCAGCACAGACCTGATACAGAGCCCAGCACAGACCTGACACAGAGCCCAGCACAGAGCCCAGCACAGACCTGACACAGAGCCCAGCACAGACCTGACACAGAGCCCAGCACAGAGCCCAGCACAGACCTGACACAGAGCCCAGCACAGAGCCCAGCACAGACCTGACACAGAGCCCAGCACAGAGCCCAGCACAGACCTGACACAGAGCCCAGCACAGAGCCCAGCACAGAGCCCAGCACAGACCTGACACAGAGCCCAGCACAGACCTGACACAGAGCCCAGCA